TAAACTAGTAGCTACGCTGCCAGCCTCCATCTGGCTTTTAAATGTACCGGAAAAATACCTGAAGGGAACTCCAAATGTTAAATTTAAAAACTACGCAGACTTTTACTCTGCAAAACAACTTCATAAAAAAACTTACAAATTTTTTAAAAAATGTATTACACATAACAAAATTACAATGAAATAAGCAATATCCCTTAATACAAATATTAATTATCCTAATAAATAAATTAACCACCTTCCCGAAGCCTTCTCTCAACAAACGTCCAGTATCCAAGAGAAACACTAAATTTAAATACACAGAATTATCGCCCTCATTTTCCCAAGTGACAACAGTGCTGATTTTCGACAGTCAACAGACCAGTATACAATTGAATAAAAAACTGTTGCCAAAACCGCATTTCTAAAGGAATGAAACTATTCAAAATGATGCGATAAAATCGAAAAGGTAAATTTTAAAAAATTGATTTGTATTTTGAAAAACTCACTTCGAGGTGCACTAGCTCTTGTCTAGATGCACCTATATACCAAATTTCGTAGCTCTGAGTCTATTAGCTTACCCGCATCACGAATAAAAGACAAAAAAACTCTTTCTTTTATTACTATATAGAGAGATTAGTACACTGGTGAGCAAAAATTAAGGACGAGATGGTTTTTTCAATATAACTTTGTACAAAAGCTTTCCAAATCAACACATTTAATACCGCAAGATCCCCAATACGTAAGGACATGAGTAATGTAAGCAACACTTACTAAAAGAGAAATCAGAGGGATATAAAGAAGCTTTATTGAAAAAGTAGCATGGAGCGCAATGCGACTGAAGGCCGAAACATCCCTGTGATGGGTGTCCAGCAAGAAACATCCGGTCTTTAATAGGGGATATGATCTCCCCTGACTGCTAGGCAGGTTTCACAGCGTCAGCCCATGCTGAGAATGAGGGTGTCAATGATTTGTTGAGGCATTGCTGCCCACTCGTCTTGCAGCGCCAATCGAAGCTTCGGAATCGTTACTGGTGGTAAGGTACGAGCTGCCAAGCGTCTGCCTAGAAAATCCCATACATGCTCGATGGGATTGAGATCCGGAGATCGTGCCGGCCAATCCATACGTTCAATATCCTCACTCTCTAAGAGCTGTTGGGCAGCTACTGTGCGATGACATGGTGCATTGTCGTCCATGAAAATGAACTGCGGACCCATAGCGCCTCTAAAAAGACGCACATAGGGAAGAAGAATCTCGTTACAATAACGGGTCCCGTTGACTGAACCTGTGTCGAAGATGTGAAGGTCTGTACGACTACCAAGCATGATGCCTCCCCAAACGAGAACACCGCCACCTCCATACCGGTCCTTTTCAATGATGTTCGAGGGATGATTGCGTCTTCCCCGCTCTCTCCAGATGAGTATGCGATGAGAATCGCTACTCAGACTTAATCTGCTCTCACCTGTAAAGAGTACTCGTCCCCATTCATTGTCTCTCCAATTCCGGTGTTCCCGGCACCACAGAGAACGCCTTCTCCGATGGGCAGGCGTTAGAGGTACACACCGTACAGGGCGTCGTGCAAACAGACCACCACCGTGCAGTCTTCTGGCCACGGTAAAACGCGATATCGCTCGTCCAGTCGCCTGTGTCGCGTGTCTAGCGATTTCTCCCGCTGTCTGCCGCCTGTTTCTTCTGGCCTGTAAGGCAATATACCGGTCATCTGCGAGTGTGGTTCCTCGTGGACGACCACTACTAAAACCCCCAGATAGCTGTTCCTGTAGTTTGAAATTGTCTCCAAAGTCGTGAAACGATGCTGTGAGCAATTCCGAACTCTGCAGCCACACTTGTCACACTGCGGCCTTCCTCCAACTTCCCAATGATTCGACCTCGGGGGGTGAAAGCATCCAGATGTCGTCTAACAGATTGATATTCGCCATTTCTCGCTGAGGCAGCAACTCGGTGTGATTTTAACTGCTATACGGCGTGCAATCTCTTTGCCAGAAATACTGATCTTACACCGACAACATGCTTTATACTACTCAGACACTCCCCCATTACGTCTACCTGCATATCTGCGCATGTGCTACCGTACATCACCTTACTTAATCTCCTGATTGGTCTTTCTGTCCGCTCTGCCTCTTCGTTCAGCTGAATGCTAATTTTTCGACTTCGTCCTTAATTTTTTGCACACCAGTGTATAACGATGTTATGAACGATTTTTTTTATTTCTTGCTTACATACATAAACTACAACTTTTGTGAATTTTATTGCTTTCAAAATATTTATTCATACTCCTTATGGCTTACGCGTTAACTAAAAGTAGCAATTCTAAAACAAAACGAAACACATCAGTTCTTTAGAATAACAGAACTGCGTTACTTTCTTTGTATGATTTAAGTTAAAATAAAAACTAAGGAATTTTGTAGTTAGTTTCATGCCAATATAGCATTATTTTTCCGAAAATCCTCTATACTAAAAAGTGTCATTCATATTTTTTATGAAAACTAGCCGAACCTAACAGTGTCCTAATTAAAGCGTTTAATTCATAGCACTAAATAAGATTACTCATTATTTAAGAATTAACAATAGTAAATATTGTAATATAGATGTATAATATTGTGCTTTAGTACATATTTGGTCATCCCATAAATAAAGCGTTTTCTTACAGATCTATTTTTCAAAATTAAGATCAAATTGTTCTTTTTTAATCTAATATATAATTTCCTTCATTCTCTGGTAGTTTTTCAACAGTAGCTATAGAACGTTTTTCCGAGATTTTCAGGACGAATCTGTAGATCTCATCAAACTCTACAGATTTTTCAGGATGAAGATTCCTGTTACTAAGTATTTAATTGACATCGTAAAAAAATGCTTATTTGTCACTATCATTGTAGAACATGTTTATTTAACACTATAATTGTATATTTGGAAATAACTGCTAACCTCTAACGGATGAGAATAGTGTAAATAAATTATAAACATGTTATGTAAATGTAAATTTATGCCAAATTTGTGCAAGCAGGTTATTCCATTCCCTTGTGAATTTTCCTGCAATTTTAAAAACCGCATTATTTATGGGTCAAAATAATACTTTCGAATATAAATGTTGTATCAATTATTTCTACTTTGATTACCGCATTTACCATGGTTATCTGAAACTGCTTTTCCGAAATCAGTTCGTATAAACGGATTTCTATTATGTTTTGAATTTTTTACAAAGTGCTTTTATACATGTTCTGATAAATTAAAAATTTTTAATCAAGAAATTTTTAAAGAAAAATGTAAATTTGTTCTACCTTTATTAGTGACTGATTCAGAAAAACTCTGCCCTAGATAATGTATATTATTTTCCTATCTAAATCTTCTGTCTTGAGCTTATTGATCATTTTATTGTAGTATTACTTACCAGTTTATAATAACTTTCTCTTTTGATTTCCCTGAAATAGAAGAAATAGTTCAAGATTCCAGTTTTGTTATGAAAGCTGAAAACGTTGAAGATGCTTCCTTCGTATAAACTGCATTAATAAATATAAAGCCTAACATTACCCTGTATACCATTAGAATCTTTGAACTGAATACAAATGCCTATAAACTAGCACAAAATCAAAAATAATTTATGATAACAAACGTCACAAACAGTTCTGGAAATCTTACTACTACAGCTGAAAGACCATGTGCGATCTACACATCTATGATAATCTTTCAACATTTCCGTGTTATAAAGAATTCGTAAGGCAAAACTTTGCCTTATCGTAAATTAATAATGATGATAAATAATATTTCATTTGGTTAATGCGTGTACATAAATACAAATTATTAGAAAGCTTATTAGAATGTAAATAAGTTAATCCTACTTTAAGAAAGACATTATTTCCTTTGCATCATTAGTTCCATTATCCTTATTAACTTATACTCCGAACAAGCAATCAATTAAATTAAATTTTTTTTCTACTAGTTTTCCAAATATTATATTTAATTTAAACAAATTCATGCTGGTATATAACTGTATTATATCTTTAATACTTCTAATAAAAACATCTTAAAGTATTAACATCCATTCGTCCGATGTAAGGGGAAAAAAATGTTTAAAAAAAATTCCCCGTAGCCATCGTTTCCGTAGCCAGACGAGACTTCGCTTCCAGCAGTGATCTTTTTTCTAGGAATCCTCCCGCTTACTACCAGAATCTCGTTTTTCAGAAAAGTCCCGTCTAGCAGGGACCATCGCTAGATATGATAAACACTTAACTCTTCTACTTCTAACTCTTCAAATCTGCTACTTAAATACTATTTCTTAACTTACTGATATTTTGCATATACGTCATTTAAATTTGCGTTCTGGCAGAAAATTGAAATGAAAAGGGAACGGAAATACAAAGTAAGGTCTTTAGCTTTCTAAGTGAAAATCTTGATTTATATTAAGAAAAAACATTGTGCATTCTATCTGAATGCTTTAATTTTTACATTGCATGTACTTTCGATTATACTTCGAATTCTCAAAGTGTGTTTCTATTGTAAGCACTGGCATATTCTCAATTGTGTCTGTAATTATTAAATCATTGTAAACAACTGTGCTGTTAGAGAAACTGTTTTCAGTGGAAGAATTACAGCGAATAAAAGTGCTATAGTTCGACCGTCTGAAGCGCAACCCTGGTTGGCATTCTGCCAAAGCACATAGACTCGTCCAAAAGGGGCGGTATTACTTGCTGTGACATGAAAGGTCTTCTCTTCTCCGGAAAGAGCTATGCTAGAGGGAAAGAAAGTCCCCATCGTTCCACCCTATTTTGAGAATGAATGGCGCATGCGTGTTTGTGCTCATGGCCGCGGATAAGGCGATCGAACTATAACTATTATTATAGACAGCTGTTAACGAAGACCTTAATTTACATTATATTTAATCTATAAAGTTAGTAATGGTCTAAGTTTATGGATAAAATATAATTTAAATAGATTTGACTAACTTTTAAGTTAAAAAAACTTACATAATGTAAAACTGTTGCTGTATAATTTTTATTTTGTCATTTCAGAACTTGGAAGCGATGATAGTGAATGGGGTGACTACAAGTCACTCAGATGTCCTATCTTCAGCTTGCGTAGAGCCAGTCGATAATATCCGATCCCTTTTGGAGCCAAATGGAAATGTCCTGCCACCCTCGGCCTCCTTCATTCGACCTCTGCCCCGAACGAGTTCTAGTCACAGCCATCTCGACAAGTACCTCAAAAAGTTCGGGAAGTCTGGTAAGTTAGATTTTCGAAACAAAATACTTTCTATACAAATTTCTGCACAAAGCGAGAAACTGTCACATTCTGCAATCGGATTCAATATCAACAAAACTCATACATACCATGAAAAGTCTTCCCGCGGATTTTAAATTCGGCATAAAAGTAAACGCACCTTCGTCTTCTCGTATGTAAGTGCACCAAATACAAAAAGGCTATTTTCGCAACAAAACTACGACTTTCATAGGAAATAAATAAGAAAAATAGGAAAGCATTCTGTCTAAAGTAGGAAAATATTCCGAACATTCAGTTTATAAGGAATAATTTATTTTCCCGCGTGCCTTCGCGATTTAATTGGAAGCATGTCCAGGTAGCAACCGAAAGGTTCGGAGTTTAATTCAGGCTTGGGCACTCTTCACTTTTCCGGTTTCCTGCTTTGAAATATAGTTAATCTTCTGCAGGTTTCAGTGCTCCTATGTTGGTTATATTGCATTGTAAAAAACCCATCAAGGATTTATGTGAAATAAAAAATATCTTTTTAGTAAAATAAATATAAATGTTATTAAATAAAAGTAATTTAAGTAATAACTGCTAATTACATTGAAACACGCAATATTAAAATTATGAATCTAGCGAACTGAGTTGAAAACCAACTAGCTCCCCAAAAAGTAAAAATAAACCCCGTCTGAAATCCTCAACTAACAAGTTGTTTAAACTGCAGGAATCTGCAATATGGGCTTTCCAGACGCAGAGATATGTATATGTTGATGAAGTTATTATCTAATCTTTCCGAGATTAAAACCCTGTAAAAAATTAGATGGGAAAAGAGTGTTGTAAAATTTGAAGTAATATTTATTCTTCATAAAGTAAATAATTACACAATTCCCATTTTATAAGGATTATTTATTACGGAACTTATTTCTAGAAAATGTTTATTTAATCCTTTTTAAAAATGAATGAAATCGTAATCAAAAATCATTTATCTTAATACAAGCACTGTTCTAAATTAAATTATTGTTTTACTATATTTCCTTTTTTGATGATTCTCTTTAATGTGAAAAATAGAAACTAAACATTTTCTTATAAAATAAAACGTTTTTACGCAATTAAAAGTTAAGTAACGTAAAGGTGATGTTTTTAATAACCCAATACCTAATTGCTTCTTATTCTTTATTCAAACGTTTCATAATTCTTGGAGTAATCTGTTTTAACCAAAATGTGACTTTCAACACTTCTGATTTTAATATTTTAAATCAGAAATTTTGTTTCTTACAAAATATTCCGTAAATACTGACGCAGGAATATCTTTCAAATGCAGTCTATAAACTCTAAAATTGAAAACCTAAAATAAAGCAGTTGAAACTAGAAGATAATGATGAAAAGAAAAACAAAACGCCTAATTTGTAGTAATCTATTTCTTCAGTTCGATTTTTCTGTGTTGGTACTTGGTATAAATGATGGTTATAAACATTAAACTGAAATTAAAGACGAATAAAGAAAATTATATTCATTACTATAGCAATTCGTTATCTTCTTCTATATTTTAAGTATCTCATCCGTTTGTCTGTCTATTATACGTTTGTTAGATATTAATGAAGTTTCCTTTCCTTCTAGTAGGAGGTCTTCGATCACCTGTGAAGCGCCAATGGTCAGCTGGCGAATCTCACCTCAACCGCGAATTCTCAAGAATAAGCGACTTGGATGTCCGTCCCCGACTTCCACCCAGGCCAAAGTCCGAATTTTTCAACGTTGGAGATCCTAACAAATATGCCAAGAACGCCACCTATGAGGTTAGAAATACGTTACATCAAACAATTAATTAATGCCATAATATCTATGTCCCCCGTAGTTCCAGAAGCAAATTTTTAAAACAATGTTAAAAATAAAAGCATTGTAATTGACTTAGTATCAACTAGTACTATGACTCAGTATTTGGTCTCCGTATGCTGATGTCACATCGGTTGGTAGTATTTGAATCGAGGAGCGTTTATCTTTACTGATTACATCAAGATCAGTAAAGATAAAAAAATCAATTACCCTATCTGATGGTACCAAAAATATTTGCTAGAGATACACTTTCAGGTTTTTATTTTTTCTAGCGATCTGACAATGCTCTTTTTTATGCATGAAACTTTCAGGCCGTTCTCGTCTCCCCGTAGGCCCTCTTTCATTTCTTTCACTGATCAGGTAAAGAAAAATATGACCGCGCTTCTAATACTGTGTTTCTTTTTCTTGGCATGCAGAACAGATGCAACCCATCCTCGCACGGATTCTGCAAATTCTCGGTAAATGTGCATTGGAACATTGCACCAGATTAAAAGACAGAAAGCTATTTTCTCCCTCCTCACCGTTTGCCATAACATTTACGTTACGTGTAAATGTTAGTGGAATAGAAGCATGGCCGGTTAGTATAGGAATGTTCAGAGTTCGAATCTCGGAGAGGGCATTGTATGTTTTCCATGCTTTCTACTTCTGTGAACATAATGAGTCTACAAAATCACGCAATTTCCTAAGATCATGAGCAGATGGTGAGTCTGAACTTGCGCTCTATGGTATCCTATATGTGCTCAAGAGGAGCCTAACCGTTGAGTTAGGAAAGGAAATCACCATGTACTTCATAAGCACTTTCCTCAAGCTACTGTAACTCAATTCCAACCTTGAGACAAGGCGAAAATCTCGTACTGGAAGAGTTCACTTCCAGTGAAGAATACAGAAGCCATAAAATGATGTAATTGGTCTCAATGCGGATCAGTTAATCCACAGCCATCATGATGTGCTCTACCATAACCACCGGTCCCAACTATGCTCCCGAGAATGCTCCACAAAGCATAATACTCTCGGCACTGGCCTGTTTAAATCCCGCGGCACGTGTCAGTCACTTTTCACCTGGAATATGGCGTACCCTTAAAACGGCCATAACGTTTTAAATACTCATGACAAAGATACTTGATCTCGTACTCAACAGTATCAACCATATCTCGTAGTGATGCAACACGTATTTTTTTCATTATTATGGAATATCATACATTATGCAAATTCGCCAATGCAGATAATTTCATGTGGAAAGCTTCTTTTGGTGGATCTAGTTTCCTGATTTAAGGTTGTAGGTTCTACTAGGTCTGATGATATTTAATTAGTCCAATAACCTTAATAGACGTGAAATGAATCATCTCTATACCTGAAGTAGCTACAAAATCATGAGAATGTTTAAATAACCTTTTTACTTGAACAGAATTTATAACACAAACACAGAATAAAAATCCTCGGTGTTAAGAGAAGCCTATTGACAAAACATGAATTCCTACGGTAGGAGTGTGGTAGTTTTAAATTTTTATGGCACAACGTTTGTGTGTTTGTAGGAGAGAGTGGTGAAATAATAATGCTAATAATGGTACGTTCCTGTCAGTGCCCACGGCCGCGGTGAGACGAGGGGAAGCACATCATTGCTGAATACCATCAATTTATTTTACTTTGTCATTCAAATTAATATGGGCTCTTGTTATGTTTAAAAACCATCAAGAAAGGAAGTTGTGATCGTTGATCTGAGGAGGTTTTCCTTTTAAGATGAAGATTTCGAATGGCAGAAAATTACCAAGACATGGATGATCCACGTTGCATTAGATGTTATAGGTACTGCAGTTCACGCAACCAGTTGTTCAGTTGTCTGCAGCACGATCACCACCGGGCGAAATGCCAAGTCCGAAAAAAAAGGAATACTTTTGAAGAATGGGATTAGAAGAAAACAAGGCAGCAGCACGTAGCAAAATAACTATGAGGATAACCACAGCAGGTATTACAACAGCAAAAGCTTCTTCATAATACCACTGATTAAGTTTCCGAAGAAGGCGAAAAAACGAAAACGTGAAAACATCGTAAAAAAAAGCGTAGAAGAAAAGCCTCGAGGTTCACAAATTCCCACTTTTTATAAACTGAAACAGTTAAACCATCAGTTAAGCATATCAGCCAATGAAAAGAACAACCAATCGTACAATTCCGCCTGATTATCAGGTAAACTTTATTGACATGAGTTCTTGTGTAATAAAATCGCTTAGTCATGTTACAAGAAACTAAGCGAATAACTGTCGCCAAAATAAACTGATGAAATCTCTTAGTTTTTCGCATCATGATCTGATGCAATCTCTTAGTTGTTCGCATCATGATCTGATGCAATATCTCAGCTGTTCTCATGAAGTTATAACAATTTAAAACTTCAGTTTAATGTGACGTCGTCACAAGCACTTTTTTTACCCTTTGGCATACCTGTACATGCTGCTTGGATGTTGTCCTCGGGAGCATTTCATTCTCATCTAATCGTCTCTAATATTACTGTGATGGAGAAATCATTTTGTTTAGTGGCAAATTAGAAAGGAAACAGCGACTGAATTTTTGTTATTCCGATTCCCAAGCAGTTTCTAATTGCTCTTGGTTATAAAGAAGCTAAGGCAAAATCTTTCCTTCCGTTATCTCTATGAAGTTACATTTTCAAGAGTTTTAACAGTAAATATGATTGTTTCTTTATAGGCTCTCCAGAAATAGATTATTAATGTTTTGGAGCATTTTTTATTTGACTGATTTCTGGAAGATCGATTGGTAGCACAGAAATATCCCAGTCTATAAATTTTACGAGTCAGCCACCATGCCTCTTTTGTATTTCTTGCATTATCCAAAACATAAAAGAAAGAATTTCTAATGTTATCGTTATCTCCGGCCATGCTTCTATGTTTTCATTATGTAACTTAATGATAGTTTGCACCTTCTTCAGAATTTTATAAGCCCCATTTTGATTTTCCTACCAAATATATTTTGCCAGAGGTTTCATATTTGCATACTGTTGTATTTGCTTTACGCGTAAAAACTCAAGGAATGTTTTAAGATATTAAATAACGTAATAAAGCAGAACTGCAATAGGTCGTAATACAAGAAATTTGATAAAATATTATTCCCTTTTAAAAACCCTTTTAAACATCAATAATGTGGGAAAATGGTAAGTATAAAAAATATGGTCTTTTAACATAAAGATTCATTTTAATGAATTTTTGTGTAGAAAACATATTTTACAGTTTATTGATTAGCTGGTGTCATTACATTTGATTTTGTCAATTCTTTTTTTTTTTTTTTTTTTTAAATAACGGCCCTTGTTTCTATCTTGGCATCACGATAATTGAGTTATCAGCTTCATATTTAAACATCGGATCCTTTAATCTACACACATCTTCCTTTACACCGTAACGGACGTTAATGAACGAGCATGTTTCTCTCTAGGACGCTCTCGCCTTCTCACCTTACTGCATCTGTCACCGGAAGTAAAAGCATTAATAAAAATGAAATTCTTCTCACCCTTGGGAAGTGTCCCTTTTCTAATCAGACCTCAGATCATCGATCTTCGCGCTCCGGTATCCGGACATATCCGGGAAACTAAAATTAATGACTGCCAGTATTCGCCGGACCGACAACAGGTGCTCTTTTGGGAGGAAGCGTTAAGAAACATCCATGCGTCGGGAAGCGTGTCTGCAGTAAATATCCTTTCTTCAATCCCCTCTCTCTTTGCTCATCATTTACCAAAGAGAGATTAATTGGAAAAAGGTAAATCGATATACAGCAATTTTAGCATACTGTATACAAAAAACAATTGACATGAAGCCCTCGTGATGAGCAGTTCTTCTCTGGCCGATACCCTTCGCAGACAACACTTTCTGAATAAAGTGTATGTTTCGTATCTTTGTGTCCAACTCATTTTTAATGCTTAGTCAGTCGGCCTGAATTTTAAAACGCAGCTATGAGGGAAATTGACTCGTTGATTGCTTTTCCTGTCTTGAAATTTTAATTAGGTTTTTGATTATTGAATATATGAATATCATAAGAATTACTCAAGTGTGAAAGAGATGCGCGCTAAAATGTAAACTTCTAAAACTGTAAATAAATCTCATTTTAAGGTAAAATAACACGCCCAATATATATTAATTTAGAAGACAAGCAACAAATTCTCCTTCATATCCGATATGAGTTCCCCTATACCCGATATGAATTCCTGGGGTATTTACAGAATTCCTTGCCAGTATGATTTAATTTACATTGGTCAAGCTAATAGAGCCTTAAAATTTCGAGTTGAAGAACATGAGGCATATGCTAGGAAAAAGAAAACACAGAATTCCCTCTGTTGCCCAGCATTGTTGGTCCGAAAATCACACTTTACCATCTTCCATTGGTGAATTAGATTTTCTAGAGGCATTTTATATTCAAAAAAGTATTTCTGTTCTAGTTAACGACCCTAATTCCAATCCATCTTTACCTTCCACCCTTAAAGAAATTATGTTTTAGTTTTCTGGTTTCATCAATCGATGGCGTCAGTAGCTCCTGTCCAGCCATTCTTATCTTATCTCGTTCATTTGCAATTTGGTAGCTGAGGATGATGGTTCGGAAAACCGTAGAAACTAGTCCTGTGAAAATGTTTAGATATAACAATGATTTTTTAGTTGGGAATAAATTTCCATATAGGGCCTAAAACTCTTCAAGAATATATTTTCTTTAGATGCAGAATCCATATCTAAAAAATAATAGAGAGGTGTATAACATATTTATGCATTTATTTAACACATTTTGTTTAGTGTAGTGCATTACTTTTGGGGTAAATACCATGTTAGAATGTATTTTAAAGTTGCGATGGCGCATTATGCTGAAAGCAAATGAAATTATTACAAAACCTCTCGAGTATATCTATATTTATTATAAATAAATTATTTATTCTGTTTTTCTCATATAATGCATGAACATCATCAGGTTTTTATTTGTA